TTCCGCAAGCTGCCCTGAGACCTTTCTCAGAGGGCACCTTCTCAAGGCAATTCAGTTTGGAAATATCTATCAAAGATGCCTAACCTTCGACCCAGCTATTCCACTTCTAGGAATTTATCCCAAAGACACCACTGCATGTCTCGAAGACACATGTAGCATTATTTGAAAGAAACACACCCGTCCTAAGGGAATGATTACACAAATCCACACAGTGGAATATTCTGTAGCCACAAAGAGAAAATGAGGAAGCTGTACTGACAGGGAACAATCCCTTATTATTGTTCTGTGAAAAATAACACAGGAACGTGTGTGTAAGATTCTGTCATTTGTTTAAACAAACAAAAGGGGAGATCAAAATATGCATGCATTTGCCTGTGTGTACCTAGACTCTCTATGGAGATGAGATGACTTTGTCCTTCAAAGACCCTCGAGGCTGGCCTGGTGTCCTGGCAGCAATAGGACGCCAGCTCCCAGCACTGTTGGCACCGTCATTACTCACCCTCCCTAGAACCAGGCCTCTTGTTCCTCCAAGAAGCCCAGACGTAAAGAAAGGCAGGGCTCAGTGATGTGCACCAACCGCCAGGCCATCTCACTCAGTAAGCCGTGTGAAGTTTGCTTTCCACTCCACATCTGCGCCAGCTCTAACAGCAAAATAATATTTTAAGTGACTCCCTAGTTAGACTGTTCAACCTCCCCCCCCACCCCCAATCATATCTTCTTCTAAGATGGAAGCTTCCAGAAAGGAGCACCATGTTATAAATTGCACAACAGTTAAATTACTTAACCTTTCCACCCCGCAAGTAAAATTTTCATTTTTAGAGGATGAGCCATGTTTTAAATTACATATTAGTTAAATGACTTAACCTTTTCCCTCTGAAACAAGTTAAACAGATAGATGGGAAGGTATGACGAGTTAGCCTATGGTTCCTGGAATTCCTGACTCCCTGTGGGCTGCACGGACCCTCAGGATCTGTAGAGGGTGGGTACCCGGGATCCCCAGAGAGCCAGGGCTGGGCCAACAGCCATAGCTTAGGGCACATTTAGGAAAAAGGCTTTTGAGCCACTTCAACTTCAAAGGCTCATTTTATTTTCCTCCTACTTATAGTTGGAAAACATTTTCCCCCATCAAACTTCTTAAGCCATTACTAATTTTTTATTTCCTATATTCCATATTCCAGGGTTATTTCCATAACACAAGGACAGTTTTTGAAAAAACAGTCAATATCAATAAAAGCAAGGATCAGGTTTCCATGTGTAATAAAATGTCTGAACTCAGCCAGGATCTACTTCTCAAGGATAAATGTCAAGATTCCTCTGGGCTTTTTGAAGGGTTGAAAATTTATCGGGGGCCCTTTCTCTTTACTATCTTCTCAGACCCACCTCAGTAAGTACCATCGAAACGGTTCGGACCTGGACCCAACCCTAGCTCAGCCAGTGTCCAGCTGTGTGCCCTCCAGAGAAAGTTCCTTAACCTCTCTAAGTCTGGGTTTTCCTCATCCATAAAATGAGGCTAAGAATAGTCTCACCTGCAGGGGTTGCAGGAGAATGAGTCAAGATAAGGTGTAAATTGCTCAGCACGGTGCAGCCCAGCACATAGTAAGCACTCAATACATGACAGTTCATCTTATTCCTGACTTAAATCAGCCACTGTTTCACCAAGGAGAGACCTGAGATCTGGGAGGGGAAATTATCTTGGCCAAAGTTTCAGAGCAATTTCCTGACACTGCTCATAATTTCTTCCTTCACACAGCCTGACGGAAGTAGACAAAACTCAGTTCCCAAACCAAGAAAGCACTAAAGCTATCCTCTAACGGGAACCAAAAAACTAGTCCAGAGGGTCCCACCTGATGCTTTGGGGCCCACAGACTCTGTCACCTTAGAAAACTGGAATGCAGATCAGTAGCCCTAAGACCAAGAGAGCCCATCCTGGCCCAGAGGACCAGCCACACCTGGGGGCAAGAACAGGCATGAGTGTAGCAGTGCAGCTGTTCCCAAACAGGCATGGTCTCCTCCTTTTTCTGGGCACAGGGCAGGATTCCACTTCTTTCCCCCTCCCTACCCACTCCTTTAAATCACAGGTGAGGCTGTGTGACTTGAGAAAAGTGATGTGTCACTTGCAGGCCCATGTACAAGTTTGTCTTTGCCTTCATGATGGCGGAAGCACAGGTTGAAATGGGATCTTCACCGGCCAGAGCTGAGCAAGATATCCTGCTGAAGTGCCCTGGACATTCAGCTTAAAAAAGAAGTAAACTTCAGTTGTGTAAAGCTACTGATGGGTGGGACTGTTTGTTACTGCAGCATAACCTAGCCTGACTGGCTGATACAAGGGGTTAAAGAGCACAGGCCAAGGCAGCAGTTTTTAATCTACTGATAAAAGACCAGTTTTTACTTTTATTTTTAATATCTAATCCACTGCAGACCAATACTTCTGAAAAATATATTTAAAATATCCTTGCAATGCTAAATTCCTAGAAAAGTTTCTATACCCTGACCCTTACTCTCACTCTCTGTGCTTATCTCTTCACCGATCAGCATGGATCCCTGGACAACACTTGCAGTAGCACAGTCTGTGGAGTGAGACAAAGACAGGCTCAAGACGCAACTCTGCCATTTTCTAACGAGGGGGAGATAATTTAACCTTTCCAAGTCTCAACCTTCCATTTGGAAAGTGAGGGTTTTCATGCGGGGATTTAAATGTAACCCACATAGGTGTGAAGAAGGTGCTTAATAAATGCCAGCTAATCATATACAGCCTGTCCTATTCCCAGGTGATCGTGTCTACATCACAGGCCTAACCATAGCACAAGGATCTGGAGCAGGAACACAGGTTTCAAGCAACCTCAGAGAACAAGGAAGTGGGTTGAGATTTGGAATTCACTGGCCCTGAGATGAAGTGGCCAGACTGACATCTAAAGGAGGCAGAGATACCTGGCAGTCTGCCTGTGGTCACTGAGACCAGAGGATAACGTCTACTGCCTCAATACCATGGAGAGAATCTTAGGGTAATTTACTAGTATAACCTTTATGAATCCATCACGGCCATTTTCAAGGTACCTCTGTGCTGGACTCTTCCCATAAATTATTCACACTCACAATTACCCTGTGAGATAGGTACCATTAAGGCTATTTAGAGTCTGCTCAGTGTGGCTAAGTAATGAACCTGCAGTCACACAGCAGAGCTGGATATGGTAGCCTAGGGCTGGCTTTACTCCAGAGTAGGGTAACCAACTGTCCAGTTTTCCCGTGACTTGGGATTTTCGGTTTTAAAATGGGATCGTCTTGGGCAAGCTGGTTACCTACTCCAGAGCCAGTGCTCTTTAGCCACCGTATTTAGCGCGTGCTGAACTAGGGCAGGTCTTTAATAAAACATCAACCGGGAGGCCAAAGAAGATCTTTGGCTGCTTAGCCATCTGCCTGGGAAAGCCACATCCCACAGCAGCCTGCAAACATATCTAAGGACAGGGAGACAGGGCAAGAGGGATACAACCAAAGATAAGCCAATTACCTGGCCTCCACGGGCAGCAATGGCTCCACACAGACAGGAACTGGCCACACCCTAAGGTCTTCAGGAATGGAAACTTCTAAATACCAGTCACACAACCAGAAGCCTTTTCTTACTTGTGTGTTTATTTTTTAATTCAAACAATAGATAATCAGAATGTGCTCCTTAGTGACATATTACCATAATTTGCCAAACAAAGCAATGGGAATGAGGTCTTAGGTGTGACTCCATATCCCAGAGCTGCTGGCTGTGTCTTCTCTCCCTCCTTATCACCCCCCACCCCAGCATGACAGCCCTAATGCCTGGCACGTGCGATGTACCAGGGAAGGCCGGTGAATGAGCTTATGAGGGAGGACATCCCTGGCCTCCTAGGCTATACAAGCTGGGTCCTCTGTGGCTGTGTCACCTCCCCCTTCACGGCTCCCATGGATCCAGTGTCCATGATGTTCCCAGGACTGTCCTCAGTGCTCCACACAAAAGATGACCATGCTATCTACCTCCAAACTGGGAGACTTTTAGAATGAAATGAAATGGGGCACGACTGACATGTATACCAGGACAAGTGTAAACAGGGCCTGTCCCAGGCACAAACGGTCACACTGCTGATGTACAGCATCTCATCTAATCCTATCTAGAGAGGCAAGCCCATACACTGGGACCAGACCCCAGATCTAAAGCCACCTACCAGCCGGGCAAGCTACTTAACCTCTCGGGGCCTCAGTTTCCTCATCTGTAGATGGGGCGGTAATGGATGCCTCACAGGGCTACTGTGAAGATTATACTAGTTAACATCTGCAAAGCCTTAGCACAGGGCTGTCTCACGTGGTAGGTATACTATATGTGTTTATGGAATAAAAAAAGTTCTCCAGCATCCCTAGGATCAGTACTAGAATCATCACTGTTTTAAGAAAACTAAGGCACAGAGGGGTTATGTAACTTGCTAGTTAGTAGCTAATTAGGTGTCTTAACCACCTGCAGTTCTGCCCCGCCCCCCACCTTCTGAACAGCAGACCACTCCGAATGGGGAGCTACAGATTCTCTGTCCCCATCCTTCAGACATTCAGGACGCACGTCAAGTAAGAAGGGCAAGGCACCCTGAGCTCCACCTGGGCCCTAAGAGGCTGACTCACAGGAAGGGGTCTGGGTCCCCTGAGACTATGTGGCATTTGCAAAACCAAGAGGCAGCTGCCCCAGAGGAAGAGCATTGCTGCCTGCGTCAAAAGCCAAAGTTCCCTTTCTCCGGCTCGCCAAATTACTCGATCTCAGAAATTCCTTCGCAAGACAAGACTGAAATGCAATCTCCAACCCCATTGGGCCCAGTGGAATTTCACCAACACAAACTGCCGAGTTCTCCAGGAAAACGGAGGAAGCCTGCCTGAAGTTTCAGTTTCTTGGTAGGTCTTAGAAAGCTCAAGCACTCGAGTGGCTCCTGGAAGTGGCAGGAAGTGGTTGGTCTTTGCTTATTTTCTGAAGGATAACCACCAGATTTGCTCATAACAACTTTTTAACCAATTGGCAGAGGGCACCTGCACAATCAAGTGATTTCTCATCTCCTTAGGGTTTTCTTCTCTTGTTAGTTCAATTTGTGGGGCTTTAAAGGAGCCAGTGCTAGGGCTTGACACAGCACTTGGATGGAAGGAAGGAAGGGAAAAAGGAAGGAAAGGAAGAAAGGAGGGAGGGAGGGTGGAAGGGAAGCAAGAAGGGAATTTTGATGGAGAAGCAAAATTCACCAAAAGAAAAGCTACAAGAGTTCCATCAAAGCCCCTGGCTCCATACCCAGCAGTGCTCACATAGCACTGACAGTGAATTCTAACAGCGGTCAGGGTCCGAGGCTGGTACACACAGGGAGGGAGGGGAGGAGGAGCAAGGACAAGGAATGGCTGAAGATGGCTGGATGCAAAGGGGAGACTGGGTTCCTCCCTGAAGACAGGTATGTTTTCAAGAAGGAAAAAAGGGGCTCCTCCCGAGGGGAAGCCAAGCACGGCCAGGAGACAGGTAAAGGCTAGAACTCGCTGGGGAGCCTAGCGAGTGAGGTCCAAGCCAAGGACACAGGAGGACCTGGCCCAGAAGTCTGGCTGCTTCTGATGAGGCCAAAATAGGAGAGAGTCTCGCCCAGGCCAACAAGCCCAGACTTGAATCTGAAAGCAGCGGTGACAACTGCAGGCCCCGGGCAGGACTGGGAGGCACTGACGCTGACGTGGTTCAGATTCAGAGGTTCCTGTCACGGTGGGGGTGGGGTGGATGGGTTAGGAGGGACTCCAGTGGCAAGGAGGGCTGCCAGGAAATGAAGGCCTGGAAGGAGGAAACGAGTTTTCTGCTGCCGACTCGTGGGAATCCTTGGACCAGTCACTTCCGCTCCCTGTGATGTGGCCATACCCCCAACCCAGTCTAGCATGATGTTCCCAGGTCCTGCAGGGTGGAGGTGAGGTCCTGTGCCAGCCGAGAAGATGCATGGGAAGGAAGCCAAGTGGGGGCTCTGGCAGAGCTGAGGGGTGCGAGGAAGGCAGCTTGGTCAGGGCTGCCTCCCACACGGAAGCCACAAACCAGGGACAGGGTAAGCATGGGTGGCCCTGGTGGGCGAGTCCAGACCTTTGGAATCACTTCCCTCTCTAACCTGGTGAGTGTGAGGAAACAGAACAATCTAAAAAACTCTCTGCGAGGAAGCTAAAGACTGGAGCAAGGGCTGGGAGAGAGGTGCAGGATATGGTATGTGTGTGTGTGAGAGAGGTGTGTGCATAAAGACATAGCATGTTCTCAAGCATGCGTGCCGTGTGTCCCTCCATACATATGTATGAGGCGTGTGCATCTGTGATCCTGAGAATGAATGCTCTGTGGTCACAAATGCACACTGTGAGGGGCAGACGCCACACTCACACACATTGACACGGTGAGGCTGGTGCATGCATACACACTCACAGGAAACAGCATCGTGTCAGGATTCGGAGCCTGAACTGGAGCAGGCTGGGAATGAATCTTGGCCATGGCCTGTACTAATGTGTGACCTTGAGCAAGTGACCTAACTTGCTCAGTTTCCTCAGCTGGAGAATGGACCAAAGAGTAGTTATACCTCATAGTGTTGCTGGGTGTTAGACAAATTGGTATTTGTAAAGCACACAGATGGGGCCATAGTAAATGCTACATACTATGTGTGTTTAAAAAAAATACACGAGTGTAGGTGGGTGGTTATCCAGCTGGGCCTGGAACCTGTGTACATCTGGAGGAATACACACACATAGAATAAGTGGGAGCGTGTGCACATGCTGGGGCAGGAAAACATGGGCTGGGTGTGCATGGATGTACAAGAGTGAGGTGTATTGGGCCATTCACGCATGTGTGTAACCATGATGCCTGGGGGAGGAAGTGTGAGTGCCCAAGGCAGATGTTGCTCATGGGTGAATGTACATGTGAGTAGATGTGTGTGAGTAGATTGGTGTTTCACCTGGAGGCATGTCTGGCTGACCCCATCTTCGGCAAAAAACGGAGTCATGATTCCGGAAATAGAGTGGATGAACCAGGTCCTGCTGACGGTGGAAAAGGTGAACTCCGGGAGCTTAATCGCAATCACTGTTTTCTGACAGCCCCGTGTCCAAAATAGGGTGAAAAGTGTGCTCCTGAGCCTGGCAGCAAGGCACCGGGAAAACCGTGCCCGAGATAAGAAGATGAAGCAACTGGAGAAGTTCTTGAAGGCCCATGGGTCACCTCCCCCGACTCCCCAGTCTCCCCGGTCTCCGTCTCCTGTTGCATGATATTGGCAGGAGCATTATGAGAACCGACCTGCTCCTGCTCCTGAAGTTCAAAAGAAGCAAGTGTCCTTAAATCTCAGCTTTTTTCTTTCTTTTTTGCTGGATGGATGGTGGTTTGGTCATTCTGTTGCAGATGTGAGTGCTGTTGTAATAAAATGAATTTCCTAGTCAGCGAGCAGGTGTACACGAGCTGCAAGGCTGATGTCGGAGGTGGCACACACTGCCCTCCTGCAATGACACAGATGAAACCAGGGCTTGCCGAGGCCTAGAGACCCAGGAAGAGACAACTCCAACTGCCTGATGCCAACCTAATCTTGCCCTTGCTTCCCCAGGTGACTGGTCAACGGGCAAGGATGGCGCCTGGAGGCAAGCTACTAGAACATTCCTCACCCAGGTGGACACAGCTGTTACCTTTGAGCCAGGGACTCCAGCTCCAACCTGTCAGATCATATATGGAATCACATTTCCACACTGCCTTCCTTTGTGGGGGTTTGAAACTCCCACAAACCACTCTGTCTCTCCCACTCTGCTGTCCCCCAAATGTTCTGAGAGCATGCATAAGTGTGGGTTGGGCCCACTTAGAGCGAATCATGGTGATAAGGGCCTAATAACCGCAGTGGGAAAGGCAGCTCTGAGGAGCCTGGGCAATCTGTGGCCAGATGCCCAGAGGATCCCCCAGAGCTGCTCGGAGCCTCGGGCAGACTTTAAGTGGAGAAAGGTCAGGGAGAAAACGTAGACCATCAAGGCTGGGGACATGGGCCACATCTGTCTCACCCCTGTGCCTCAGCAAGTTGTATAGGAAGGATGGAAAGAGAGAGCGTTCATGGGCAAGGGAGGGGCACAGACATACAACATTACACCATCCACCCACTGGACACACTTGTGCCAGGGACTCCAAACATGTTATTTCATTTAACCCTCTCAACAGCCCTAGGAGGAGTACCATCCCCTGCCTTTTCCAGACAAGGAAACTGAGAGGTTAATTTGCTCACAGGCGCCCCCACCCCCCCCCCCACCCCGGAGCAGCGGTTGCAAGCCAGCTTTTGAACTCCGGCTTAATCGCAATCACTGTTTTCTGACAGCCCCGTGTCCAAAATAGGGTGAAAAGTGTGCTCCTGAGCCTGGCAGCAAGGCACCGGGAAAACCGTGCCCGAGATAAGAAGATGAAGCAACTGGAGAAGTTCTTGAAGGCCCATGGGTCACCTCCCCCGACTCCCCAGTCTCCCCGGTCTCCGTCTCCTGTTGCATGATATTGGCAGGAGCATTATGAGAACCGACCTGCTCCTGCTCCTGAAGTTCAAAAGAAGCAAGTGTCCTTAAATCTCAGCTTTTTTCTTTCTTTTTTGCTGGATGGATGGTGGTTTGGTCATTCTGTTGCAGATGTGAGTGCTGTTGTAATAAAATGAATTTCCTAGTCAGCGAGCAGGTGTACACGAGCTGCAAGGCTGATGTCGGAGGTGGCACACACTGCCCTCCTGCAATGACACAGATGAAACCAGGGCTTGCCGAGGCCTAGAGACCCAGGAAGAGACAGCTCCAACTGCCTGATGCCAACCTAATCTTGCCCTTGCTTCCCCAGGTGACTGGTCAGCGGGTAAGGATGGCGCCTGGAGGCAAGCTACTAGAACATTCCTCACCCAGGTGGACACAGCTGTTACCTTTGAGCCAGGGACTCCAGCTCCAACCTGTCAGATCATATATGGAATCACATTTCCACACTGCCTTCCTTTGTGGGGGTTTGAAACTCCCACAAACCACTCTGTCTCTCCCACTCTGCTGTCCCCCAAATGTTCTGAGAGCATGCATAAGTGTGGGTTGGGCCCACTTAGAGCGAATCATGGTGATAAGGGCCTAATAACCGCAGTGGGAAAGGCAGCTCTGAGGAGCCTGGGCAATCTGTGGCCAGATGCCCAGAGGATCCCCCAGAGCTGCTCGGAGCCTCGGGCAGACTTTAAGTGGAGAAAGGTCAGGGAGAAAACGTAGACCATCAAGGCTGGGGACATGGGCCACATCTGTCTCACCCCTGTGCCTCAGCAAGTTGTATAGGAAGGATGGAAAGAGAGAGCGTTCATGGGCAAGGGAGGGGCACAGACATACAACATTACACCATCCACCCACTGGACACACTTGTGCCAGGGACTCCAAACATGTTATTTCATTTAACCCTCTCAACAGCCCTAGGAGGAGTACCATCCCCTGCCTTTTCCAGACAAGGAAACTGAGAGGTTAATTTGCTCACAGGCGCCCCGCCCCCACCCCCACCCCGGAGCAGCGGTTGCAAGCCAGCTTTGTCTGACTCTGTGACTGTCCTCTCAGTTACTGCACTGTTCTGAGAATGAATGAAGGAAGGAAGGAATGAAAGAACATGAATAACAAGCGAATAAACAAACAAAGAACAATGAAGGGAAACTGAAAGTTAGTGCTCAGAATCAAGATTTAAAAAGGGATGTGCTGGTGCAGCATTCTTGGGGGATAGGGCCCACTCCCCCAGGTGGTTTGAGGAGCACTCAGGACCCCACGCCATGCAGGCAGAAGCCTTCCACATGAGCCCCGAGGCTGCTGGGGCAGAGGAGACAGCCCAGGTGTGGGTCATGGCCTCCAGGCTGGCCCCCATCAGCCTGGAGTCAGAGTGCAGGCCTGACGGCTTCACAGCAGGGCCTTCGGTGTAAATGCTGAAAACTGTCATTCTGAGCTCCACTCAAGTCCCGTGGGATTCTGGATTAGCTAGATCCCAGCTGCCAAGGCCTGGGCACTCGGGAACCCAGC